GGGAGAGCTAAAGATCACCCGGCTAGTGACAGATATATTGTTATTTCATGACCGGCTTAGAGGTGCATGTGGGTGGGTGATAGGAAAACTTTGGCAGCTTCAAGACGGCAAAAGTGGCTTTAAAAAAAGGTTGGTAAACATTAAAACATTGGTCTTCCCCCACTATACTCAACAAAAATTATTTGGAATTTAGTTACGCATTATGGCGTTTCACCACAGGTGCTAGCATTTTATATGATTCCTTGCCCGAATAAACACCCAACAAAGCCAAATGTGTTCTCAAAGGCTGAAATCATACGTACTTCTTTGTTCTCCTACTATTTCAGTAACTATTGCAGAACAATCGTAACATTTTAGTATCGGTTACAATCTATCACTGTTTGTACATGCCTGTTTGTTGCACCCAACACATTATTGTGTTTTACTCATAGATGTACACTATGGTTTTACTACAGGTGCTAGTATTTTATAGACTCCCTTGCAAGATTGAAACTCTAAACACAGCCAAATATGTTTTGTTTTTTTATTGCGCCTTCATCATTTTGTCTCTGTACCTTAACATTTATGTAAGCCTTGTGTAAGGCCTACAGTATAATAAATTACAATAATAAAAGGCAAGCTCAATGCGTTTTACAAACTATATATCCCTATCACCCAAGCAGACCCTAGAAAACTCAGAAACATTCTTTGTGTCTTGGGAAGCATACACTGCAAGCAGTAGTTAAGCTCTTAAAAGCTAACAAACTGACACGATCTTTAGCTCTGTCTAAATCCCCGTTGATCTAATCATCATTTCCAACTGTGGGGGAGTTAGGACAATTCATGAAAAGTGCATGTCCCAATAACGCTACGCCGGGCCCCTGGAGGGATCCAATCCACAACCGTTCGCTTAAGAGTCCAACAGACTAACCAGTAGACTGACCACGGACACGTGCACACTTGGTACCGTGCCGTATCGGTGCTGCCAACATGATGAGTTTAAATAAGTGGCTCTGACATTTGATCTTGCTCCAGCTCCTTTTTACTTTTACCTGTCTCGTTATCTTTGTCGTCCCGTCTTTGCCCACTGTGGAACATTCGAGATGAGTCATATATTATACATATTACATGTACCGGGTATGTATAATATATTATAATAATGTATGACCATATAATAATATTTCTTAT